GAGCCTGCAAATGTGCTTCCCCCTCTTCATGGGGGATGGTGGTGGACTCTGAATTGTGAAAATTATAGTTGGTTCTGCTATGAACTGTTTACCGTTTCTTCAGATACAACAATAATTTTATCTAGTTCATTGCCAAATTTGCATTTACAAGTATAATCAAAGAATAGTTCTTGTCTGCAAAAGAAATACAGTCAATGGAAAATCTTGGTTTTTGACCAACAAAATTGGTCAAATTTGAAATTAAGTGAAGTTGTGAGACTAAAATGAAGACCTTTTCTAGCTACATCCATCTCCAGTTTTAAATATGATGATGATGGTACTATCAGGTTGTTGATTACATTGATGGCCTAGCAAGTAAATATGTTGCTGAGGCTGGACAAATGTCTTAAAGTCCAATGGTCAGGCCAAGTCCATGCAAGCACATACAGTTCCAGGGCATGCCATTAACAGATTATTAACCATCTCTGGCACTGAGACTGTGTCTGCTTGAAATCTGAGAATCAGACAATGTATCTGGAGTAATAGCAGTGAGAATTGCATTATGATCACCTACTTTTTTTGTTACCTGCAGTTGTAGACACTTCTGTAAACCTAACAGATTGCCTGTTATCTAAACCACATGCTTTGATTTAACTTTGTGTAAAACAAATCTTCTCCATAGCTTTACATTGCATATTGAAAATATTTACTGTGCACAGACAAAGCAAGCTATGATATACATTGCTAGATATACATCAATCTACTTGTACAGCATTCAACATCTTTTTTGGATTGCAAAAAGAAACATCTTCTTTGGATTGCAAATGGACATTAAATTTCCTTGGTTTGCAAAATTTTCCAGTGACCGCATGACCAAAGGGGGAGGAGCCAGCCTGCAGCTAGCCCTCCCCTAACATAGGGGTATAAATTATTATTATTATTATTATTATTATTATTATTATTATTATTATTATTATTATTATTATCTGAACTGAGATCAGAAACAGAAATGCAGGCCCAAGACTAACATCTTCATCCCTCCTGCCCATGTTTGCCTGATGAAGAAGCCAATGTGATTTTGAAAGCTTGCAACATGTAATTGTGCATTTTGGTTGGTCCAACAAAGGTATCATTGCTTGGATGTTATTGGATTTGCTATATGGCTAATGCAGCTATCCCTAGATATCATTCAAGGGTGTGATTTATACCAATAAATGACAATCACATTGATGAAATAGCAAATACCAGTCCTCACTGTCAATACGTAGAATTATTACATGAAAGATCCCATGTGGTAATAGGATTTGTGGATATGTTATATAGTCCTGCCATCAACACTGGTAATGTCATTGACCTTGCTGTCACATCCACATAGTAAGCATGGACATCTTAAAAGGGCTACTTACTATAAGGATGTTCCAATCACATGGAACATAAGTCAGGGATGGGCAAATGCAATGGCAAAGGGGCAATCTGGAATCTTTTGAGAGACATCATATGTCCCCAGTTTTGGCATGTATAAGGAGTAAAATATATCTCAGTTTCCACTAACTGTGGCAAACCACTTCACACATGTGTAAAGACATTACTTTAACACAGACCAAGTCACATTCAAGTCACCATATTAATTTATAAATGTTAGGTTTAAATGGGATATAGAGTCAATGTTAAAATGTTGA